CTGAAATCAAATTTCCCAGCACTAGTAAAGGAATTTCATCTGTAACTCCCAACACTGGTCCTACTTCAGAAAAATCTAACACCAAAACACAACGAACTTCCACCAATTCGTGGCCAGATGATATCTACAACTACGTAAATCTGGTGTCCAGTCTTCCTGATTAAAAAAAGTACGAAATTCTGTGCAATCATTGCCATTGGAAACCTGGTTCTGATTTTTCTTTTCCTCCACACGAAAATATTGGTAGACGTTTCCGGTTGGCATGGTTATCACGATTTCCATGGTTGGCTTACTCTGCTGTGGCAAACGGTGGTTTTTGCGTCACTTGTGTTCTTTTTGACGGTGAAAGCACGCATAATGCAAGCGAGCTCCAACGATTGATGACCAGTGCTCTTCCTCCAAGTGCTTCTGCTGTCCAGAAACTATGTCAGCATGGTGAAAAATCCAATGTTCACACAAGGGCAACTCTCCGTGCTACACAGTTTAAGCGAATGATCGAGAATAAGACACTTGGTATCGATGTGCAGCTGAAAAAACGCACCCCGTAAAAGACCTACGTTGCAACTGAAACGCCAAGATGATCGAGTTCGATGTACAGCCCTAATTGGATATTTTTTGCTACGAAGAACCTGAAATACACAGGAACAGTACGTGCGGTACAGAATTGTAGTTTTATGTAAGTACAGTGATTTTGTAACATTCTAATGTTGTAAAATTCGCTGAAGAACATGGTATGTTGTTTAAATATTTGATTTATTTAGTGCGTTTTGTTATTTGCTGTCTAAAATATGGCGTAATTAATGACGAATTATATGATAGAATTCGATGCTCAGAACTCAGGAAATGGCATTTCCAGGGTTCAAATTTCAAAAATTTTCCGGGGGGGAATGCCCCCGGACCCCCCTAATTATGTGCGGTTTTGGAGTGCGCCACGGTCAGGGTTTAGGCTGGATCCGCGCCTGGTGACCTCATGAACACAGAAGATAATACTCCGGAAGATATATCCAGCACTTCAAGCGCAAATCACGGAATACCACAAAGACCTATCCTTTGCCCGTTTTTTATTTTGAAAAAAGACAATTTACCTCCAGGCGGATAAATGCTGTAAAGCATGTATGCGGATGATACTGTTGTTTAATTCTCAGCTATCGCGATAAATAACGTAAAGCGCATAGTTCAGAATGATTTGGAAATTCACATCATGGATGAATGAAAATAAATTGATTCTAAACGAAACTAAGGCCTGTTTTATACGTCGAATTTCGATCTCGGCGAATGAAATTCAAACAATAGGTAATGAAGCTTAATGAGGTTTATCATTATCTATTATCTTAATTGCATTCGGCGCGACCAAATCTTGGAAAGATGATTAACTCGCGTTTCGTGCGGGTTTGAGCTGAGCTCGAGGCCTGCAATTACATCGTTCAATTGCCCAGTTGCCGCGCTGTTTCCCATGGTGGAACAATTTAAAAAACATCTTAAATTTGCGTTCAATGAATGAGCCATGCAATATTGCTTGTAAACTGTGTCTATGCCAGGCCGCATTGTCCCAAAAGGCAAAACTCTATTTGTGTCAATTTGTAACTGCGAGTAATAATTATCAGAAAGTTTTTATCATGATGCGCAACTGCTATTCCGCATGAAAGCTATAGTGTTGATGTATATGCCAAAATTTGATTTCTTTTACTTGGTCAAGAAGCCTAACTACAACTGCATCGTTATGTGAGAATTGTTTTCATACCCATAAAAAGTAGGTTTTGCACAGACAGAGCTATTGTATGTCATAAAGTTGCTATGTTAGAGAGATATTGTATGTCAAGCAACTTGCTGAAAAAATTAACGAGGCTTTCGTATCCGTTACTCGAGATATTCCTCCCCTTAGTCCTATCCCTTTCCCCGATAGCCAATTACAAAGCGATTGTACTACAATTCCAACCGAGTACATTATTAGGTAAGAATACATTTATTATAAATTATCTTCAATATCATCCTCGAAAGCGGCTGGCCCAGATGAAATACCGAATTGGGTCCTTAAAGATTATGCGCCTCTGCTGTCTCCCCCTGTTACTTCAATCTTCAACGCCTCCCTTCAACAGGCGTCTGTTCCCGCGGTATGGAAAAAAGCCGACGTCATCCCTGTACCTAAAAATAAGGTGCCGAGGGACATTACTAAAGACTTGCGTCCCATCTCGCTTACTGCCACTTTGTCAAAAACGTGTGAACGTTTTGTCGCAGACTGACTGATGGAGTTGATTGGTGAGAAGATCGATAAACGGCAACTTGGATCTCTAAAAAACCCCTCAACAACACATGCATTATTGAGCCTTCTCCATCACTTATTAAACGAAACTGATGTGCCGAAAAACGCTGTGAGAATATTTTTATTAGACTTCTCCAAAGCTTTTGATCATGTTGATCATAACATCCTCCTCAGTAAATTATCTGATATGGACATTCCATCATTAATAACAAACTGCATAAGAAGTTTTCTTACTCAACGAAGCCAACGGGTCAGAATGCCCCATTGTGTGTCAGAATGGCAAATCCTCAACGGTGGAGTACCCCAGGGAACGGTTTTACGCCCAATCCTCTTCCTAATATAATCATGATAAATAATCTCCTCGCCGATTGGAAAGACCGATGGAAATACGTTGACGACACCACCACTACCGAAACCATTGGCCCAGATTGTAACAGCAACCTTCAAGAACTGGTTAATTACATCAATAATTGGACTACGAGTAATAATATGAAACTAAACATTGGAAAATGCAAAGAACTGGTTATTGATTTTGCAAAAAAGAAGCATTGCTTTCCCCCTTAACAGTCGATATAGTTAATATTGAACGAGAGAAATCTACCCGTATCCTTGGTCTCACAGTTCAAGATAACATGAAGTGGAATGAACATATAAACAACATAGTTAAAAAAGCTAGCAAGAGGCTCTATATGCTAAGACTGCTAAAAAGGTCCAACGCGTGTATTGACACGTTAATTACTGTATATACTACCATTATTAGGCCTGTTTTAGAGTACGCATGCCAGATCTGGCATTACAATATCCAACAATATTTATGTGACGATATTGAAAAAACACAAAAACGCGCGTTGAGAATCATCCTCCCATCGCAAAAGTACGACGAAGCGCTGATTACGACTAACATCACGTCACTGGGAGATTGCCGTGAAAAATTATGCGAACATTTCTTTGAGAAGAATATTGACAATGAAAATCTCAAAGATCTTTTACCACAAACAGTTTTATCTGGATATGATCTAAGACCGATATGTAAATATCATAATTATGTTTGCAGAACCGAACGTTTTAAGAATTCGTTTTTCCCTCAAAGTATATTAAAGATTAAGAGACAATGTCCACTAAAACCGAGCAAAATCGAGAATACGTGGCACATGAGGAAAAATAAAAAATCTTCTTATTTTTTCCAGTGATACACTAATGTGTACTCAGAAACGTGGTGGGGTTTGTTTTCTGAAATATTATTTTAAACGCCGAAGATTATCAAAACCTCACACATACCCGAGATTCGCGAAATTAGCAAAAAATATTGTGAGCTACGGCCTCTCGAAAATTTCGTTTTTCTCAATTGGCGTGTGATGAAACCTCACCTTTCGTTTTTAAACGTGTTTATAACATGTTTATAAAGAACGTGGGTCCAATTTGCAATTTTTGATATGATTTTTTAATGTCAAGACAAGCGTGTAAAAATCGTCTTTTTTTGCGATCCAAAAAATTCTAAATTGTTACACTTTTTGAAAATTAATTTTCGTATCTGGGAAAACTCCAATTTCCTTGAAATTTACGGAATACGGCTATAATCGATATGTATACTGAAAGTTTCGCAGAAGAACTATAAGTCTGATGCGAGGTTGGATGTTTGAAAGTATACGTATTTTAATATACATCGGAATTTAAAATATACAAACATGGGCTATGATCAGAGGCGATGATACAAAATTTGCATTTCGCCAGTGCCGTAGCTAGCTCGATAATTGGGGGGGGGGGGCAGATGTTCATATATTCGTGTTCACAGACCATAAAAACAATCGATTTCAATCGAAGAAATTAATAACGCAGAACACGAATATATGAATATCTGCCCCCCCCCTCCAATTATCGTGCTAGCTACGGCACTGCGTTTCGCTCTCATGAGAAATTTGATTATAAGAGGCTGTTTATATGGTCTCGCTTACCCGAGATTCAATGAAGTGTAACGTATTTTGATCGAGCAATTAAAATACGTGTTTCAGCCCTAAACAAAAGTTAGATAACTTTAAATATTTTTTAAACGAAATTAGGAATGCGCCCGAAGTTAATATGTAGTGAAAGAAGACGATTAATAGCATTCAACAACATTTGGTTTTTTGCTTAAGACATGGAATTTCATACAATTTGTAACGAGCAATTTTGTTACATCATGAAGTGCGACTACTTTACATTGCTCAAAATACGCACGTCACACTTCATTAAATTCCAGGACCCGGGGAAGCGGGACCATGGCCGTACAGAGTTCTGAAATTGCCCAGAACTTCAACTTAACGATACTCCCTATAGGGTATGACATCCTGTTTACAAGTCTGATATGTTGGATAAGTTGCAGAAAAGTATGGGTAATATCTTCATTTTTTGCAGTTTGTCATGGATAATGTAGCTGCTTAAAATTAATCAATTGTCAGTATTTTAAGGGTATATTATTTAAATGATAAATAAAGGTCCGCATGATTTTGAAAAAAGAATGATTATTAGCAAATTGGTTTCTTAAAAGAGCAAGTCGCTTACATTCAGTTATTGTGCATATAACAAAGTAAATTCAGCGTATGTTCTATACATCAGGTTTGATATTACTTTATAATTTCTGTGTATTCGGAAGTTTATTTATACAAACTGTCAAACACGTCACTAATTACATTGACATTGTCATTGTAGTCACATCGGGAGTTTAATAAAATCTAGCCCTAATCTCAATTATTTATGCGACTACTTCAGAGAAAACTAAGCACATATATTTCAGTTTGAAAAAAGTAGATAATACGGATTGCTTTTACGAGCTATTGAGACTTTGAGTAGTGGATTTAAGCAGGCTATCAATAACTGACTTTTGTCTATTAATTATTATGTGTCAAGTCACGCGCACAGAGCTGGGTGGATCGTGACTAAAACACCACACGAGTACATACGAGTAACACACAAGTACATACGAGTACATACGAGTAACACACGAGTACATACGAGTAACATACGAGTACATACGAGTAACATACGAGTACATACGAGTAACATACGAGTACATACGAGTAAAACACAAGTACATACGAGTATAATACGAGTACATACGAGTAAAATACGAGTAGTAAACTTGTTTTTAGTGTTTGTAGATTGAATACAGGCAAAAAGATCGTCTTCTCTTTCGAAAAACGTGGAATGGGGGAACGGGGAATGGGGGAACGGGCAATGGAGGAACGGGGAATGCGGGAACGAGGAACGGGGGGACAGGGGCATCGGGAATTATGAATTATTGTTAATACGTAATATTAATCATATGTACGGGGGGAAAAAGAACAGAAAAAAGAAACAGAAATTAGACAGGATAAACGGGAATCGGGGAATTACGAAACTATAAAACGGACTCTGGTGTCTTGGGAATTAGAAAACCGCTCAATGAATTAAAACTAGTAAAGAAATTTAGCGAAGCTTTCCTTTATTAGCCGTACAGCGTATCATAAAAAGGTCAATCCACATTGCTTATGTAATATTAATAATAATATTGCTTATGTCATTACTAATATACTTGCTATATAATAAAACAAACTTAAGGACTAGATGCAAGTCCAAGGCAGTCCTTATGCTCCATATGATATCTTAAAGTGATTATCCTATTTTAAATATCTTACAAAGCAAAACTAACAAAACACAAAATACTTCAAAATACGCAGATTTTAAGCTAGCAATTTAAGTTGGCAAGTACGTTTCTAAAGGACCCAGCCGAACTCTCCTGCAAGCCTTTGGACGTGCTCCACCTTGAAAATGGAAGGAAAGTCTGGAGGAACGAGAACGTCGCCAAGAAAGCTTGGATACTTTGCTCTGATGCAGGCTGATCGGAAATGAAAATGCACGTTCTGAGGCTCACTTGAAAACTGGATTTGTCCTGCAGGGCCTTTTTTAACATATAAGCTGGGGGGGTGGGGGCATTTGACCCCCCCAGTCCCTCCTTGTGCCCCCCCCCACGAAATCACATTTTGCCCCCCCCCCAGAAAAAGTCCCTTTTTCCTAAATTTATACAAACAAACCAGCGAAGAATAACAAATTGATAAACGGAACGTAAGTTTTAGGCTTTATCCTTTGTCCTTGTTTAACAAAATCGATTTAAAGGACTGTGTCACCGCGTGCGCATCCTACGTGTTTCTAACACTAAGTAATGATAAATTATTGTTAATATTTTTAAAATTCTTTGTGCGTTTTTTCCTTCTTTTATTTCAAATAGAAGTATAGTTAGGATAAATTTTAGAGCAAATTTAGATGCTCAGACGGCAGGAACTAATGGCATTTTTGGGCTTCAAATTTCAAAAATTTTCTGCGGAAGTATGCCCCCAGACCCCCTATTCATTCACGGTATGTCGGCCACACACGTGACCCACGGCCATTACTATCCCCCTTTAATAATAAGTAATGGATAAATTATTGTTAATATTTCTTTTATTTTTTCTGCATTTTTTCCCTTCTTTTATTTCAAATACAAGTATAATTAGCATAAATTTTAGAGCAAATTTAGATGCTCATAAAGCAGGAAATGGCATTTGAAAGGTTCAAATTTAAAATATTTTCTGGGGGAGTATGTCGGCCACACACGTGGCCGTCGGCCATTGCTATCCCCCTCTAATATATTATCTGACAGAAAGGTCCCTTTTCAAAAAATGCCCCCCACGGGAAAATCCTTAAAAAAGGCCCTGTTGTCCTGTATTTCGGTCTCGGAACTGTCGTATGTCGTCACGGTATAAGTTAACTGTGTAGTTCGTATATTTGCCTAGCCACATGTTGTGATTGATGCTATGTGAGGATTGTAAGTTTATCACCTAGTACTATTTAAGTATAGATGAAGTTAGGTTATGTGCATGCTCACAGGGTTTTGAAAGCAAACCATGCCGTGAAATATGCGAAGCCTATGGTTTGTGTCATGTATCTAACTATCTAGGTAGAATACCTAAAAGTAGATGTTGTACAAACTACAAAGTTGTGGTTTATAGAATCGGGCAGACCTCCCCCGCCCCCTATTTCCTCCCCCCCCTCGCCCCACCATTCCCTCCGTTCCCCATTCCCCGTCCACCCATTCCCCGCCCCCCAATTCCCCGTCCCCGCATTTCCCGTTCTCCCATTCCCCGTTCTCCCATTCCCCGTTCCTCCATTCCCCCATTGCCCGTTCCCCCATTCCCCGTTCCTCCATTCCCCGTTCCTCCGTTCCCCCATTCCACGTTTTTCGACAGAGAAGACGATCTTTTTGCCTGTATTCAATCTACAAACACTAAAAACAAGTTTACTACTCGTATTTTACTCGTATTCTACTCGTATGTACTCGTATTATACTCGTATGTACTCGTATGTACTTGTGTTTTACTCGTATGTACTCGTGTGTTACTCGTATGTACTCGTATGTTACTCGTATGTACTCGTATGTTACTCGCATGTACTCGTGTGTTACTCGTATGTACTTGTGTGTTACTCGTATGTTACTCGTATGTACTCGTGTGGTGTTTTAGTCACGATCGAGCTGGGTGTAGGTAAAACATGGCCCTAGACCATGGCCCAGTGTATGGCCCTACCCTTGGCCCACCTGTTTTTTGTTTAATTTTGATGTGTAAATTATGTCAAAATTATTTTAACGTGTTGAGTTCATATACGTTTCATATATATTATAAAATATTGATTTGAGCTTATTTCTAAAATACGAAATAAATTTTGACCATGAGTCACCTACTGTAGCTGTGCGTTTTACGATTAGTACATAATATCATAATATGGACTATTAGGCTTACTGTAGTTCACGAAACGAAACGAAACGAAACGAAACGAAATCTGCACTTTGCGAAACTGTAATTTGCGAAATCTGTAATTTGCGAAATCTACAGTTTGCGAAATCTGCAGTTTGCGAAATCTGCAGTTTGCGAAATCTGCAGTTTGCGAAATCTCTAGATAGATTGCTATTCAAATTTGCAGTTTGCGAAAACATATAGCAGAAAGTAAAAAAAAATGTTTACCTTTTCGAAAGTTTTCGATGCGATCACCAACGTTTTTGACCATTTTTTTAATTTATTTATTTATTTATTTAGCTTTGCCAACTAGGGCAGGGTCACCACAACAGCATATGCCAATTACTGTGGGCCCTTTTTTACCTAACCCACCCTGTCAACTTTCCCTGTGGGAGGAAACCGGAGTACCCGGAGAAAACCCACGGCTTTCGGCAGAGCGTTGACTTTTACTCTTTTCACATGGGGACTGGGTTCGAGTCGCACTGAGAAGGTACTTAGTGAGACTCGAACCTGCAGCCTCAGAGGTGAAAGGCAAGTGCGCTAACCACTTGGCCACCGAAGCCCCATTCTAATGAAAAGGTATAAGGCATAAGCCCCATTCTAATTAAGGTTTAAGGTATTTAATTGATGCGTCAATGCCTTCATCATGCGGGATGTTAGTGTACAGGGATCTAACATCTATTGTAAGAAGAATAATGTCAGTGGGAAGATTATGGTTAGGTTTAAATATACGTCTAGGGAAATCCGTTGAATCTTTAACAAATGATGGGATATTGCTAACTAAGGGTTTGAGGAAGTGGTCCGCATATTTCGATAATCTGACAGTGGGTCCATCACACCCGGAGATGATAGGTCTACCCGGGTTGCCAGCTTTATGAATTTTGGGTAGTAAGTATAGGGCATTAGGAATTTATATGTTGTGTAATCAAATTGACCTAATTTATGATTATTTTGAACAAATTGTTGTATTCTAGTTATTAGTTCAGGGATGGGATTCATTAAAATATTTTTATGTCAAACCTCGCGGCTGCGATCCACTTGACCATGCATCTGAAGAATTTCCGGGAAAATCCCATAGTCAGGGCAAAATTTCCAATCAATTTGCTGGCAATGGTGTATTTTCAATCTTAAACTTTTACATTTTGCAGTCTCAGACATATAATTATATAAAGAAGTTTATTTGACACTGCCACTGAAATATAACTAATACAAGTAAAGCAATTTATTGTGATAACGTTTTATCGCAATTATGACTTCGTGTAGTCAGGTAGGTTCTTAATTAACTAGGTTAACTTGCACAGAATTTAATTGTACTGTTGACGCCTCGTCCTCGGAACATTCACACATTTTCACCCCAAACTACAGATATTTCGAAAATTACAGATTTCGCAAACTGCAGATTTCGCAAACTGTAGATTTCGTTTCGTTTCGTAAACTACAGTTTCGTAAACTACAGTAAGCCGGACTATTACATAAAGTACGAACAACCAAACAACACATGATCACGTGAGAGAATCAATGTCGGCCGCATGGCGCACAACTGCATCGTTTCATGGGGTGAGTTTTTATCGTTTCTTGTAGCTTTTTGCTATCAATACGAGCAGATGCTTGTCTTGCAATTTAATGTTGAGAACTCTCTAACGTTTATAAACGTTTGAATTTTAGAAAATCGTGTTTAATTTAAAATAAAAAAATGAAGCGATCGAGGCGTGTTTGAAGAATTGCATTTGGACGCTGTTTATATGTTGAAATATTTACATATTTACACTTTACAGACTAGATAATTCCGAATATTCGGAATCCGCATAATTTTGCAACTTTGGGAACTTTTTTACTTGTTTTCAAGTCTGTAAATCCTGTGTTATTTGTATTTAAAAGGTTTCGATCATACATATTTTTCATCAACATATTTTAAATAAACAGCGTCCAAATGTAATTCTTCAAACTCACCTCGATCGCTTCATTTTTTTATTTTAAACACGATTTTTTAAAATTCAAACGTTAATAAACGTTAGAGAGTTCTCAACATTACTTTCATTAAATTGCAAGACAAGCACCTGCTCGTATTGATAGCAAAAAGCTACAAGAAACGATAAAAACTCACCCCATGAAACGATGCAGTTGTGCGCCATGCGGCCGACATTGATTATGTACTAATCGTAAAACGCACAGCTAGGTGACTCATGGTCAAAACTTATTTCGTATTTTAGAAATGAGCTCAAATCAATATTTTATAATATATATCAAACGTATATGAACTCAACACGTTAAAATAATTTTGACATAATTTACACATCAAAATTAAACAAAAAACAGGTGGGCCAAGGGTAGGGCCATATAATTTATCTGTCAAAACCAAATAACAAGAGAAAACAAGTATAAATCCTCACGCTTCGACAGTCTATCTGAGCAGACTGTGTCTAAACGAACTGCCTGTCTATAAGTGTCTGTCTACATAATCGGCTGTATATTATAGACATTATAATTTCGTGATAACAAAACACCCCATAATATTTTTTACACCAGATTTGAGGGCAACATTTGCTCATACATTTGTCTAAATTTGAAGGAAATCGGAAAGGGAAAATTGATTTTCAAAAAATGTACCAAACCTAAAATTTTTTAACTTAAGGTTTTTCTTGTGATTTTCCCGATATTATAGTCAGTATAATTCCGCGGTAACAAAAATCCCCAAAATAATTTTTATATCGGCTTTTAGAGCAACAGTTTCTCTTTAAATTCCCTAAACTTCAAGGAAATTGGAGTTTTCCCGGATACGGAAAATTAATTTTCAAAAAGTGTAACAATTTAGAATTTTTTGGATCGCAAAATAAGGCGATTTTTACACGCTTGCCTTGACTTGGAAACATTGTTTAAAAGATTCCAAAATAGACTATCGTTGTTTATAAACATCTTATATACACGTTTAAAAACCGAAAGTGAGGTTTCCTGAAGACGCGAACTGAGCAAAACGAAGTTTTCGAGAGGCTATGACTCACTATGTTTTTAGCTAATTTCACGAATCTTGGGTACATGTCAGGTTTTGATAATTTTTCGGCGTTTAGAATAATATTTCAGAAAACAAACCCCATCACGTTTCTAAGTATACATTAGTGCATCACTGAACAAAATAAGAAAACATTTCATTTTTCATCATGTGCCACCAGTTGCTCGGTGATAGTGGAGATTCCCTCTTAACAGTAAATAAGTTTTTAGAAATGTAAATAATCTTAAATATGTAATTATTAGGTAATTTTAACTTATCCTCTTAATTTATGTAATACTGGTGTAATTTAACCTTTTTGGGTTACAAAGTCAGTAAGTCATTAAATCAATTCAATTCAAAGTTGCCAAGGTGTCACAGTGTTACCGAATATTGTCAACGGTGTCAAATAGCTTGCCGGCGTGGCATAAATGATTATTACCAGTCTGGATGAAAATTTCCCATGTGAACACGCCATCCATGCAAGCTTGCGTCATATAAATTATGTTTCGCTTTTATAAAGCTTTGTCAGTTTGATTGATATACTAGCGTCTAACGCTTGCGGACTGTCTGTCTATCTACGAACTTTGTTCGAAGAAAATATGTCCGCCATGTGGCAGTCGTTTATGAACACGTTTATATCCATTATACTACGTTTCATATAACTATTGCGTTTTATTTCATTTAGCTCAAATATCCGCTTCATATTTGTACAAATTGTCTGAGCTTTTTGACTCGCAAGCACTTGCAAGTTGCGAGTAGCGAGTGCTTGTGAATGAGATGAAATGCGAGTACTCGCTTTGACCCGCGCGCACTCGCGAGTACTCGCTACGCGCGAGTAGACGTACCCTTACTCGCGACAGGTAAAATAAAATTAAATTAAATTAAATTAAATTAAATTAAATTAAATTAAATTAAATTAAATTAAATTAAATTAAATTAAATAATGAAATGAAATGAAAGGTTGTGCTGCGTTTCATGCCATGTCGCAGAAGTCGTGATGTAAGGGACTGTAATTTTGCAATCTTGCCATTCTCGATTATGCGTAGGTGGTTATGCATTATATTATGTGATAGCATATAATATGCTGTATATATACACTGCCACAGACAGTTCAAGATTTGTCAATTATTCTCTCTTCATTAATTGTTTATTTATATTTTCGTGCATTGTTGCGATTTCACTTTTTTCTATAATTGTTGTTTTGTAGGACCTACAGAACTTTATTACATCAATTTAAAAGTTGTAAATAACTATGGTTATGATGTCGATGTGCGAACTAACGCAGATGTCATTCAGGACTATATAGTTCCAAATGGTGAAGACCGTCATATTCAAGAGATAACCGAAACAGCAGAATATTTCGTTATATGTATTTATGATCGTCGTGATGGAATTCGGATTATGCATAATGGTAAAAGCTATGTAAAGATTACTCCAAAAACCTCGCCACAGTATGAGTACAATATTATGCTGGGACCAGGTATGATATGAATTATAAATTACGGTTGAGGCTGGATAGCACAATGGAGTGGTTAGTGCTTTTTTCAACCTGCATAAAAAAATGGCCGAGTCTCCAGATATGTGGAAGCAAATTAATTGATTACCGGTGAATAATCATCGAGACGAAGCCGAGGTGAATATTCACTGTAATCACTGAGTCTGCAGCGAATAATTGTTTTAGTACAATTTTTTAACGAATGATACAAAATATCCAAATATCAGTTTAATTAGCCATTTCCCAAAGTCCTGGGTCTAGTCGCGCAAATCCCAGGGACAAGAAATATGGCAGCATATATTTAAATTCTGAAAAGTTTAATGTAAAAAAGGAGATATTTCATTTTTGTCCGTCTAAAAAGTTAGTGATATTTGAAAGAAGATACTTCTACTCTTTCACATATTTGACGCTTGTTACCATATATTTTCCCCCTCCAAACGATCCCAGAATGCAATGTGATCTCATTTGGGAAAAGGCTAATTAAAATTCAGAAATAAAACTGCTCGGCTGGTTCACGGTTACAGTTTTAGTGTTGCAGTGTTTCATTGTTCCGTGTTTCCACACGCTTTCAAAATGGCTTCCTGTATGACTTTATTGCTTATATTTTACAAAGTTGTTTTCTCAATTTCTGCTTAGAATATAAAAACAATGATGGAATGACCTTTTCACCAGATTTAGAATTAAACAAGAATTTCTGTTTAGCATTAATTTGTTCAGGAAATGGCTGAGAAAATTGGTAAAATTATATGTAAAACTATTGCTGGAAATAAGGTTTTAATACACTTTTCACTTTACAAGTTTTAAAAACACAACACAGCGCCGACAGGACATCATACAGGGTCGGAACCGAGCTCCATAGGCTCGGAGTCAAGTTAGATTGGCTCGGAGCCGAGACCCAATCATCCTCGTACCCAGGGTCTTTTTGGGAAAGACCCTGGTATTGTGTGATCACGTGACTCTACAAAAATTAATTGCCCAAGGGGGAATGGCAAAGTGTCAAATTACATGCTTCCACAGAAAACGTTAAATTTCTAATACCATAAGTGGGATTTTAGGATACATAGTTCGAAGCGCCCGCTAACTTCTGTTTTATACCTCTGTTTGCTTTTAAATTACGAAAACACTCTAGCATTTTATCAACAGTCAAGTCAAGAAACAAATAAAATCGTATACTTTAAAGTTAGAAGTTGAGTAATCCATCTCAAACATATTTTGATATCAAACCGGTCAGTTTCCATCAAAGTTTCCATATATTCTCTTCTATCTGTTTCTAAATTACTAATATATGCCATTAGATTTGTTGTTTGCAAAGGTTAATATACTCTGTGCCAATTTACTAATAGTATGTGCCAATTTACTAATGTAAACATGACACTGCCAAACAAAGACTGAATGCTCACTTTAAAACTGTCGATGATTTATCTTTGAAATAGGCTCAGAGAGTGGAGGTGCAATCCTTTGAATTTCCATGCTGTTTTTGAATAGTTGGATGGTGAGTGGTAACATAGTAAAGTACGTCAATAACCGTCCAGCTATTCAAATACAGCACTGACATTCAAGGGAAATTCAGATTGAACATCCACTCTTTGAGTGTGAGTCAACCTTTATAATACGTACAGGCGTGTGACTCTGCGTGCTGAGAATTGCGCTCAGTAACTGATTGAGTGAAGTCTTTTTTGTTTTTTTATATGACTTAAATAGTTCTCGCTTATTGCTTGGAAATTTAGACATAATTCTGTGGTTTTTTCATCAATTCAACAGAGAATTATATAGTTATGGAAGAAACATTTAAATTGACTGGGCTGGTTGTTGAAAGCACGATTAGCGTTAACCCAGGGATAAAATTTAACCCGCCATTTCGGTTCGCGTGTTTTTGTCGTCCGTTTATTTCAAAACTTTGGAAAAAAAAATTTCTATTGATCCAAAAAAGATTTTTGGAAACTATATTCAAGTTTATAAACTAATGTTAGAAAGTTTGCTTTTAATTTTACGTTAACCTGGGCTAAGCTAATCCGTTTTCGAATAACCGGGCCCAAGTGTTTGAAACGTTCGCTAATATATGATTTATGACTTTTTTGACATTTCAGCTATTTACTATCTGGATGTCACAATTGTGAACCGTTACGGAAAACGTGTCCTGATTATCACTTCCCTTCCTGATCCAGCACATACGCGATTTGAAATTCATGTTGGTGAAAGTCATCGAATCACTTCAACACTTTCTACACATCAAAAAATAGTTATCACAGCATTTGATGGAGCAACGTATAAGTCAATCACGATAGATGGAAAGATCGCAGTTTTTGTATTGCCAAGTGTTACACCAGTCACTCATGTCTACCATATTCCTTCAGGTGAGTTATATAACTAGAGTATGGAGAACACTTGCAAAACCATTGTTTATACCATTTCTTTTTCTCCCCATGAGTAGCTCGCATAATAGTAATAATATACAGTATACAGTATATAGAATCCATATTATTGAGTGAAACCTTAGTCGGATGGTTGACATTTTGAGAATCATTGCAAATTATGTGAAATGCCACAAACTATATCAAAATTCAATATTCAGATTGTATACAATACGTACACTACTGGTTGATACAGTGCAGATCTTATGGTTTAAGTATCGCGTCAGCAGTTCTCACTTGAAGTGATAACTGTAGTCAATTAAATTTCACGTTTCTGGTTTCAAACAAGAACCCCTCTCGCTATTTATAACGCTTCACTTGACTTGTGTCCAGGGTTCGTGACTTAAAGCAGGTGCCATGCATCTTTTGATAATATGTAAGCACCGACAGTGGTATATTATCGTCATATCTAGTTGTCTCGTTACAGCAGCCCCTCCAGTTGGTATCATAACAACCCAACGTCCAGTTATTCCTGCTACCACACCAGGTCCAACTGATGCTCCTGTGTCAACACAAGCTCCAACTGATGCTGCTCTATCAACAGAAGCTCCAACTGATGCTGCTGTAACAACACAAGCTCCAACTGATGCTGCTGTAACAACACAAGCTCCAACTGATGCTGCTGTATCAACACAAGCTCCAGCTGATGCTGCTGTTTCAACAAAAGCTCCAACTGATGTTGCTGTGTCAACAAAAGCTCCAACTGATGCTGCTGCATCGACAGAAGGTCCAACTGATGCTCTTGTCTCAACTAATGCTGTTGTCTCAACAGAAGGTCCAACTGATGGTGTGTCAACAAAAGCACCAACTGATGCTGCTGTATCCACAGAAGGTCTAAGTCATGGTGTTGTCTCAACAGAAGTTCCAACTGATGGTGTGTCAACACAAGCTCCAACTGATGCTGCTGAATCAACACAACGTCCAACTGATGTTGCTGAATCAACACAAGCTCCAACTGATGCTGCTCTGTATTACATCAACGTAAAAATTATGAACAACTATGGTTATAATGTTGATGTACGCAGTAACACAGGTGTCATTCAGGATGTTATGGTGCTTGCTGGTACCGTGCGTGGAATTGAGGAGACAACGAACTCCGCTGAATATTTCGTTATACGCGTTTATGATAGCCGTGATGGGATTCCAATTCTGATTGATGGTGAAAGCTATGTAAGAGTTACTCCCAAGTCCTCACCACAGTATCAGTACAATATTGTGGTTGAACCTGGTAAGTTATGAGTGGTGATACAATTCCCACATTGTTTAGAAGCTTTAAGCCTGTTTTAATTATGCATATTGGAGAAAGCACTTGTTATCCAGCACATCTTTACCCAGCTGCACAATCTCTACTGTCTACTTTGCTTTCGCTCATTAAATATTATCCTACGATGTAGTTTACGGAAATATTGTTGTGTAGTTCATTTTGGCCAATGCTTCTTGACATTCACTTCCCCATTTTCTGGGTGAAGTTTGAGACATATGTGAGCAACAATTAGTTCCTCATATCCTTGTAATTCATTCTATTTGATTAGGTGAAATAAAATTCTATCTGGTGTTCTTGCTTCTCAATAACTATGATGGTGATGTTGTTGTTTCAACTGGTCTTCCTGGAACATCGGGTGAGATTACAATGAAGCCAGGTGAAACGGTAGCAGTGAGTGAACAACCAAACAATAACAACCCTATCTCAGTGACAGCTGCAGTGGCCAAAGGAACCACTGGAAAAGTCAACATCAATGGGCAAAGCAGTGTTTCTATCACACCTGCTGAAATATTTGGTGCTTCATTCCAAGTTCTGTTTATATATCGTGAAGACCCGAGTAAGTAATTTTTTTTCTCTACTTGTTCTACTGATTACCATGCCGAATATTATTTATAGCGGACTTATTTGTCATCAGAAAGGGATTTTGTATATTCCGGTTTGAATTTTAATGCTTGTAAAAATGGGTACTGAAATTTTTCTCTTTTCATTTTATTCATGGTAATTTGGATTAAAAATGCGAGTGAAGTATTTCTACGTTTCTTTCGCTACAGAAATAATTTCTTAATTTGCTCTTTATCTTTTTCAGTTCCAACACCAGCTCCAGGAGAACCAGTGTATTACGTCACCTTCATTATCACTAACACCTACGGTAAAGATGTCTACTTGAGAACTAGTCTCCCATCACCATATAACACAATCATTATTATGAATGGTAAAACGGTCAGAATGTCAATCAAAGTTCTAACACAACAAGACGTTACATTTGAAGCCTTCGTCAGGGAAACGGAAGAAAATATTACAATAAATGGTCAAGGCATGTTCACGATCACACCACGAGACAGTCCAGGCGAACCGATTGTGTTGAACCTTCCTGAATTAATAGGTATGTGTGTGGTTGTTTTAATATCCTTTATTAGTTGTGAAACCTTCGCCGATGGTTGACATTTTGAGCATTATTGCAAATTATGTGAAATGCCACAAACTATATCAAAATTCAATATTCAGATTGTATACGTACACTTCAGGTTGATACAGCGCAGAACTTATCCAAGCAACGTTGTTCAGATACGAATGTCGCGTGTACATAATGTTCAGATTTAATTATCGCTTCAGCAGTTCTCACTTGAAGTGGATAACTGTAGTCAATTAAATTTCGCGTTTCTGGTTTCAAACAAGAACCCCTGTCGCTATTTATAACGGTTCACTTGACTTGTATCCAGGGTTCGTGACTTACAAATGGCATGCATGCTTTGATAATATGTAAGCACCGACAGTGGTATCTTCATATCCAGTTGTCTCGTTACAGCAGCCCCTCCAGTTGGTATCGTAAAAACCCAAGGTCCAGTTATTCCTGCTACCACACAAGGTCCAACTGATGCTCCAGTGTCAACAAAAGCTCCAACTGATGCTGCTGAATCAACAAAAGCTCCAACTGATGCTGCTGTATCGACAGAAGGTGCAACTGATGCTGTTGTCTCGACAGAAGGTCCAACTGATAGTGTGTCAACAAAATCTCCAACTAATGCTGTTGTCTCAACTGAAGGTCCAACTTATGGTGTATCAACAGAAGCTCCAACTGATGCTGCTGAATCAACACAACGTCCAACTGATGTTGCTGAATCAACACAAGCTCCAACTGATGCTGCTCTGTATTACATCAACGTAAAAATTGTGAACAGCTATGGTTATAATGTTGATGTACGCAGTAACACAGGTGTCATTCAGGATGTTATGGTGCTTGCTGGTACCGTGCGTGAAATTGAGGAGACAACGAACTCCGCTGAATATTTCGTTATACGCGTTTATGATAGCCGTGATGGGATTCCAATTCTGATTGATGGTGAAAGCTATGTAAGAGTTACTCCCAAGTCCTCACCACAGTATCAGTACAATATTGTGGTTGAACCTGGTAAGTTATGAGTGATGATACAATTCCCACATTGTTTAGAAGCTTTAAGCCTGTTTTAATTATGCATATTGGAGAAAGCACTTGTTATCCAGCACATCTTTACCCAGCTGCACAATCTCTACTGTCTACTTTGCTTTCGCTCATTAAATATTATCCTACGATGTAGTTTACGGAAATATTGTTGTGTAGTTCATTTTGGCCAATGCTTCTTGACATTCATTTCCCCATTTTCTGGGTGAAGTTTGAGACATATATGAGCAACAATTAGTTCCTCATATCCTTGTAATTCATTCTATTTGATTAGGTGAAATAAAATTCTATGTGGTGTTCTTGCTTGTCAATAACTATGATGGTGATGTTGTTGTTTCAACTGGTCTTCCTGGAACATCGGGTGAGATTACAATGAAGCCAGGTGAAACGGTAGCAGTGAGTGAACAACCAAACAATAACAACCCTATCTCAGTGACTGCTGCAGTGGCTATGGGAAGAACCACTGGAAAAGTCAACATCAATGGGCAAAGCAGTGTTTCTATCACACCTGCTGAAATATTTGGTGCTTCATTCCAAGTTCTGTTTATATATTGTGAAGACCCGAGTAAGTAATTTTTTTCTCTACTTGTTCTGCTGATTACCATGCCGAATATTATTTATAGCGGACTTATTTGTCATCAGAAAGGGATTTTGTATATTCCGGTTTGAATTTTAATGCTTGTAAAAATGGGTACTGAAATTTTTCTCTTCATTTTATTCATGGTAATTTGGATTAAAAATGCGAGTGAAGTATTTCTACGTTTCTTTCGCTACAGAAATAATTTCTTAATTTCCTCTTTATCTTTTTCAGTTCCAACACCAGCTCCAGGTAAACCAGTGTATTACGTCACCTTCATTATCACTAACACCTACTGTAAAGATGTCTATTTGAGAACTAGTCTCCCATCACCATATAACACAATCATTATTATGAATGGTAAAACGGTCAGAATGTCAATCAAAGTTCTAACACAACAAGACGTTACATTTGAAGCCTTCGTCAGGGAAACGGAAGAAAAGATTACAATAAATGGTCAAGGCATGTTCACGATCACACCACGAGACAGTCCAGGCGAACCGATTGTGTTGAACCTTCCTGAATTAATAGGTATGTGTGTGGTTGTTTTAATATCCTTTATTAGTTGTGAAACCTTCGCCGATGGTTGACATTTTGAGCATTATTGCAAATTATGTGAAATGCCACAAACTATATCAAAATTCAATATTCAGATTGTATACGTACACTTCTGGTTGATACAGCGCAGAACTTATCCAAGCAACGTTGTTCAGATACGAATGTCGCGTGTACATAATGTTCAGATTTAATTATCGCTTCAGCAGTTCTCACTTGAAGTGGATAACTGTAGTCAATTAAATTTCACGTTTCTGGTTTCAAACAAGAACCCCTGTCGCTATTTATAACGGTTCACTTGACTTGTATCCAGGGTTCGTGACTTACAAATGGCATGCATGCTTTGATAATATGTAAGCACCGACAGTGGTATCTTCATATCCAGTTGTCTCGTTACAGCAGCCCCTCCAGTTGGTATCGTAAAAACCCAAGGTCCAGTTATTCCTGCTACCACACAAGGTCCAACTGATGCTCCAGTGTCAACAAAAGCTCCAACTGATGCTGCTGAATCAACAAAAGCTCCAACTGATGCTGCTGTATCGACAGAAGGTCCAACTGATGCTGTTGTCTCGACAGAAGGTCCAACTGATAGTGTGTCAACAAAATCTCCAACTAATGCTGTTGTCTCAACTGAAGGTCCAACTGATGGTGTATCAACAGAAGCTCCAACTGATGCTGCTGAATCAACACAACGTCCAACTGATGTTGCTGAATCAACACGAGCTCCAACTGATGCTCCTCTGTATTACATCAACGTAAAAATTGTGAACAGCTATGGTTATAATGTTGATGTACGCAGTAACACAGGTGTCATTCAGGATGTTATGGTGCTTGCTGGTACCGTGCGTGAAATTGAGGAGACAACGAACTCCGCTGAATATTTCGTTATACGCGTTTATGATAGCCGTGATGGGATTCCAATTCTGATTGATGGTGAAAGCTATGTAAGAGTTACTCCCAAGTCCTCACCACAGTATCAGTACAATATTGTGGTTGAACCTGGTAAGTTATGAGTGATGATACAATTCCCACATTGTTTAGAAGCTTTAAGCCTGTTTTAATTATGCATATTGGAGAAAGCACTTGTTATCCAGCACATCTTTACCCAGCTGCACAATCTCTACTGTCTACTTTGCTTTCGCTCATTAAATATTATCCTACGATGTAGTTTACGGAAATATCGTTGTGTAGTTCATTTTGGCCAATGCTTCTTGACATTCATTTCCCCATTTTCTGGGCGTAGTTTGAGACATATGTGAGCAACAATTAGTTCCTCATATCCTTGTAATTCATTCTATTTGATTAGGTGAAATAAAATTCTATGTGGTGTTCTTGCTTGTGAATAACTATGATGGTGATGTTGTTGTTTCAACTGGTCTTCCTGGAACATCGGGTGAGATTACAATGAAGCCAGGTGAAACGGTAGCAGTGAGCTATCTCAGTGACTGCTGCAGTGGCTATTGGAAGAACCACTGGAAAAGTCAACATCAATGGGCAAAGCAGTGTTTCTATAACACCTGCTGAAATATTTGGTGCTTCATTCCAAGTTCTGTTTATATATCGTGAAGACCCGAGTAAGTAATTTTTTTTCTCTACTTGTTCTACTGATTACCATGCCGAATATTATTTATAGCGGACTTATTTGTCATCAGAAAGGGATTTTGTATATTCCGGTTTGAATTTTAATGCTTGTAAAAATGGGTACTGAAATTTTTCTCTTTTCATTTTATTCATGGTAATTTGGATTAAAAATGCGAGTGAAGTATTTCTACGTTTCTTTCGCTACAGAAATAATTTCTTAATTTGCTCTTTATCTTTTTCAGTTCCAACACCAGCTCCAGGAGAACCAGTGTATTACGTTACCTTCATTATCACTAACACCTACGGTAAAGATGTGTACTTGAGAACTAGTCTCCCATCACCATATAACACAATCATTATTATGAATGGTAAAACGGTCAGAATGTCAATCAAAGTTCTAACACAACAAGACGTTACATTTGAAGCCTTCGTCAGGGAAACGGAAGAAAATATTACAATAAATGGTCAAGGCATGTTCACGATCACACCACGAGACAGTCCAGGCGAACCGATTGTGTTGAACCTTCCAGAATTAATAGGTATGTGTGTGGTTGTTTTAATATCCTTTATTAGTTGTGAAACCTTCGCCGATGGTTGACATTTTGAGCATTATTGCAAATTATGTGAAATGCCACAAACTATATCAAAATTCAATATTCAGATTGTATACGTACACTTCTGGTTGATACAGCGCAGAACTTATCCAAGCAACGTTGTTCAGATATTAATGTCGCGTGTACATAATGTTCAGATTTAATTATCGCTTCAGCAGTTCTCACTTGAAGTGGATAACTGTAGTCAATTAAATTTCACGTTTCTGGTTTCAAACAAGAACCCCTGTCGCTATTTATAACGGTTCACTTGACTTGTATCCAGGGATCGTGACTTACAAAGCATTAGGTCTCTACTGACCTCTGAGGTGCCATGCATCCTTTGATAATATGTAAGCACCGACAGTGGTATCTTCATATCCAGTTGTCTCGTTACAGCAGCCCCTCCAGTTGGTATCGTAACAACCCAAGGTCCAGTTATTCCTGCTACCACACAAGGTCCAACTGATGCCTCTGTGTCAACAAAAGTTCCAACTGATGCTGCTGAATCAACAAAAGCTCCAACTGATGCTGCTGTATCGACAGAAGGTCCAACTGATGCTGTTGTCTCGACAGAAGGTCCAACTGATGGTGTGTCAACAAAATCTCCAACTAATGCTGTTGTCTCAACTGAAGGTCCAACTGATGGTGTATCAACAGAAGCTCCAACTGATGCTGCTGAATCAACACAACGTCCAACTGATGTTGCTGAATCAACACAAGCTCCAACTGATGCTGCTCTGTATTACATCAACGTAAAAATTGTGAACAGCTATGGTTATAATGTTGATGTACGCAGTAACACAGGTGTCATTCAGGATGTTATGGTGCTTGCTGGTACCGTGCGTGAAATTGAGGAGACAACGAACTCCGCTGAATATTTCGTTATACGCGTTTATGATAGCCGTGATGGGATTCCAATTCTGATTGATGGTGAAAGCTATGTAAGAGTTACTCCCAAGTCCTCACCACAGTATCAGTACAATATTGTGGTTGAACCTGGTAAGTTATGAGTGATGATACAATTCCCACATTGTTTAGAAGCTTTAAGCCTGTTTTAATTATGCATATTGGAGAAAGCACTTGTTATCCAGCACATCTTTACCCAGCTGCACAATCTCTACTGTCTACTTTGCTTTCGCTCATTAAATATTATCCTACGATGTAGTTTACGGAAATATTGTTGTGTAGTTCATTTTGGCCAATGCTTCTTGACATTCATTTCCCCATTTTCTGGGTGAAGTTTGAGACATATGTGAGCAACAATTAGTTCCTCATATCCTTGTAATTCATTCTATTTGATTAGGTGAAATAAAATTCTATGTGGTGTTCTTGCTTGTCAATAACTATGATGGTGATGTTGTTGTTTCAACTGGTCTTCCTGGAACATCGGGTGAGATTACAATGAAGCCAGGTGAAACGGTAGCAGTGAGTGAACAACCAAACAATAACAACCCTATCTCAGTGACTGCTGCAGTGGCTATGGGAAGAACCACTGGAAAAGTCAACATCAATGGGCAAAGCAGTGTTTCTATCACACCTGCTGAAATATTTGGTGCTTCATTCCAAGTTCTGTTTATATATTGTGAAGACCCGAGTAAGTAATTTTTTTCTCTACTTGTTCTACTGATTACCATGCCGAATATTATTTATAGCGGACTTATTTGTCATCAGAAAGGGATTTTGTATATTCCGGTTTGAATTTTAATGCTTGTAAAAATGGGTACTGAAATTTTTCTCTTCATTTTATTCATGGTAATTTGGATTAAAAATGCGAGTGAAGTATTTCTACGTTTCTTTCGCTACAGAAATAATTTCTTAATTTCCTCTTTATCTTTTTCAGTTCCAACACCAGCTCCAGGTAAACCAGTGTATTACGTCACCTTCATTATCACTAACACCTACGGTAAAGATGTGTACTTGAGAACTAGTCTCCCATCACCATATAACACAATCATTATTATAAATGGTAAAACGGTCAGAATGTCAATCAAAGTTCTAACACAACAAGACGTTACATTTGAAGCCTTCGTCAGGGAAACGGAAGAAAAGATTACAATAAATGGTCAAGGCATGTTCACGATCACACCACGAGACAATCCAGGCGAACCGATTGTGTTGAGGCTTTCTGAATTAATAGGTATGTTTAGAGTTGTTTTAATATTCCTTGGTATTTTTTGTTTGTGCAGTCCAGGCGCAAAGTGGACCATTTCGAATGGTTTCTGAGCGGTCTGAAACCAAAATACCCGCTATAAAGTTCGGCAGCCCCAAACCAATAGGCTATTTGAGAACACAGTATAAACCACTGGTGGCAACACTGAGACTAGAGAGATTTAGTCGGAAGGAACTATGGTTGGTAGGAACGAGGGTACGAAGCGGAAAACTGAGCGGAGCAGTAGCAAAACGATTTCGACGAGAAGTGCTAGAACAACAACGGAGAGCAGCAAATGTAAGGATAGCAGAGACAGAGTGGAATGGATTCAAGGAAGCGGTGGTGAAGACAGCAGATTGAATGTGTGCAAAAGTTAGATAAGCCAAAGGGAGTGATGGTGGAGGGAAGAAGAATAGATGTGAATTGAAGAAAAGCGTGTAGAACTGCAACTATCTGTGCTGAGATGCAAATAGGACAAACAGCTGGGAAATGGGGAGCGAAGCAAGCCAAAAACAGCAGAAGATTATCTCTACTATGAACTGGAAAATTAACCACTAGTTTCCCGAACGAAAACGTACAAAGCTATCAAAAACGAGAAAGGAGGGCAGGAAGACAATGCATCATCGCCCTTCATTGACAACAGTGATGTAGTTTTACATGTAGAAGGAGAAGCAGCAAAGAAGAGGTGTAGCAAGTACTTTGACACCTTACTTCCAACAAGAACACCAGGGATCTCTATGGCAGAAAAAAAGGCTGCAATAAGTACGTTTGTCAAATAGTCATATTCTCTTTAGCTGCAAGATAAAACGAGGAAAAGCAGCAGGACGTGCCATATAAAATTATGGTTCTTGTCCAGGGAGAAGAAGGGATCGTATGGTTGCATAGAGTAATGAATGCAATTTGGAAAGAAAAGCGAATACCCGGTATTGGCATGTCTTGTCCATGTAATGTGTAAGAAATTTAAGAAACCCCATAATACGGACTGCCTGGTACATTAGCTTTTTAGTTATTTCAGGTAGTCTGTATACCGTAATATTGAAATTGTAAATATGTAAAATAAGGGTACGAAATAAATATGTCTCTGTCTTAATACTAGACAGTAGAATGAAAGTGTCAGTGGAGCCGTACTTGGGAGAAGAACAGTTTGGATTCAGAAATGGAAAAGGACGACAGACGTTATGTTCATTCTGAGACAGATGATCGAGAGAAAGCTGGAATTCCAACGAGAATTAATGGGGCCTCCTGGATTTGGAGAAGACGTATGACAAAATTAATAGAGAAATGTTCCCACCAGTACTACGACAGTACCACGGTCCAGACGAACTGACAACCATGGTGATGGCTCTGTACACATATCAACAGGTGATGGCTCTGTACATATCAACACCGAGCACTCAAATGATAACATGCTTTGGTAAAACCAAGGTATTTAAAGTGAAAGTGGGCTGACATCAGCGCTAAGCTTTGAGTCCACTGTTGTCCATAATTAATACTGTTGTGCTACATCAGTTAACGATACCCAATGGAGCGAGGACAAAAGGTAATTTATGTTGGTGATATCGGGTAGCGTATCAAAAAAGCAGAGGAATTACAAAAAGCAATAAAGAACTGGAAAAACGAATTGGAACTGGCAGTGCGTGGTATGCGGATGAGCAAGGCAAAACGGCAGTAATGCAAGTTTTAAGAGGACAGACAATGCCACGATTACAGATTGCAGTGGATGGTCAGCAACGTAGTACTGCTGGAGGCAACTGGTGAAGCTAACAACAGCTTTCATATACCTAGTCAGTTGGCTATACAGGAATGTGGTGATCTGTATTGCGAGATACAGGCAAACAGGGAACAGGAAACACATGGAGGAATATTGCTGGAATAATATTTGACAAACGGTTGCCATCTGAAAACGAAGGTGTGCAAGACTATGGTAAGACTGGTGATCCTATATGGCGCAGGGACATGGGCAGTGAAGGAAGAACAAGTGAAGAAATTGGAGGTAGTGGAGGTGAGATATTTACGAGTTATTAAAGAAGTAACAAGAAGAGAGAGAGAATGAGAAACGAAGAAACAAGGAAGGAATTGAACGTGGCGGAACTGAGAGAGAAGATACTAGAAACTAGACTAAGATGGTATGGCCACATGAAGAGAATGGAAGGAAATGAGTGTGTCAAATTGGCCGCGGCGCATAGGGAGGAAGAAAGGACGACTGAGGAAGCGGCGGATGGATTGTATGCATGATGATGGTAGAGTGGTGAATCTGGATAAGTTGACGACATAATAGAAGGGAAAAGTGTGCAGGCGACCTGACTCCCCTTGATGGGACAAAGGGGATGATGATGATGATTACAATTCGTGGCTACCTCGTAACCGCGCATGCACGTTATCCTAAGTTACTGCATTGGCATGGGTAGCTGTGCTAAAAACAAGCATTAGCCAAATTTGTGTATTCTTATGAATACATTTTATGAACGAATTACAAGTAATATTTATTATTTTTATACATTTCAGAGTTAGCGGAAACTTACTGTACCTTATTTTATATCATTACTTTCATCTCCAACACAAGCTCCAACTGATGTTACTGCGTCAACACAACCACCAACCCATTCTGTTTCAACAGAAGGTCAAACGGATGCTATGTCAACACAAGGCTCAACTGATGTTTTAACAACGGAATCACCAACTTCTACAACTGGAATCGGTAAAGTTGATCTTTTACTTTGCTTTCTGTTCATTGTATTGAAAAAAAGATGACTATGTGAAAACTGAAACCTGTAGATTGCCTTCTATCGACACACATATGCCTTTAGAATTGAAACCGTTGTGTTACATTGTGCTAGAACCAATATTTATAGCGAGTATGTTGTTATGGAAATTATTTATCTCCACTTCTAATTTAGCTCCACTCCTCAAGATTTAATTTTCTAATTCTCAAGTCGATTTTGGCTGCTATATAAGATCGTTGACTATATACGGACCTGTATTATGCATGAAAACCTCCATGTGACTTGAATAACTTGCACTATTGCTTTCAAACATTTGAGCTGTGAATACTTATGACGTGCTGTAACGTAAGATTTAATTTTTGGTATAATTTTATGACGATATTTCAGTTATTATTTACCATCTGGATGTCACGATTATGAACCGTTACCAAAAAAATGTTATAATTCTTGTGATCTTTCCTGGTCGAGCACATCAACGATTTGTGATTCCTGTTAGTGGACGTTATCCAATCAAATCAACACCTTCTACACGTCAACAAATAGTCATCACAGCATATGATGCAGAAACATTTATTCCAGTTATGATAAACGGCAAGAGCGCAGTTTTTGTATTCCCAAGTGTTACACCAGTCAGTCTTGTCTACTATATTTCTTCAGGTGAGTTACGGCATGGACAACAGTTGAATAACCCTTGTTTATAGCTACAGAATTCATACAGTAGAACAAAGTTAGTTATTACAAAAAAATAATGATTATTTTTTTGTAATTTGACAAATAATTTTCATAATTGCAATGCGTAGCTACCTTTGTTCTAATGTATAAACTGGGGCTCCAGTTTTGTAATTTGTAAACTGGGACTCCAGTAACTGCGCAAACCCGTTATCCAAAGTTCTGGATTAGGTAGCGATATTAAAAACAAGCAGCCCTATTAGCTAGCCAAAAGAAATTTTATGAAAGAATTCCAAGTAATAGTTATGGTTTTTTACCTTGCAGTGTTCGCGGAAACTTACTTTGTACCTTATTTTTTTCATTGCTTTCAACCCCATTCTCCAACAGAAACACCAACTGCTGTTCTGTCAACACAAGTTCCAATTGAAGCTGTGTCAAGACAAAGCTTAACTTATGCTGTAATAACACAAGTTCCAACTGATGTCAGTGCAACAACGGAAACACCCACTTCTCTTTCTGGAATCGGTAAACTTGATCTGTCATTTGTTGTTGTTTTTTCATTGAATTGATTTATTGGACAATTATCAAGGGACATGCTTAATTTCACTTTGTGTTAACATGCGCAATGGGGAAAATGAATATGAATGCCATCAGGCTTTCAGTGGGGGGATCAAAGCTTATATAGATCTTATTTCATGAGGCCGAAGATTTCCTAACGCTGCATATGAACAATGCCCCATAAACAATGAAGCTTCGGTAGTATACTGGTTGTAGTGCTGGGTGTATACACATGCATGCAGTACTCGATTTGCTATTCGATTTGAAATTTTATAGATGCATGATTTTAGGAACGGGGCCCTGGAAAATACTTTGTTTCTAACTGTTTGTAGCTATACGTCGAAAAATATACGTTAAAATATAAATGTAATAACTAAAGACTTTTCATCGTGTCGTTTAAATTTAGCAATATATCTTACTTGGACTAAAGTAATAAACACAACTGATCTCATGTCTAATTCGCAACACCGGAGTTTTTAGGTATTTAATTAAGCATCATGTACATGTAATGGCATAGATACTGGCTGGATAATCGTTGCCGGAAAAGCGTCGTTTCAAATATAAAGAATTGCCTTAAAACACAGAAAAAATTATGAAAAACGTACAATTCTGTAAGTTTAAAAAAATATTATTAACACTCCAAAATATATTATAAAACTGTTGAAATATTTTCTAAAACTTACCTATTTTGGTCCCTATACATATATTATTACTCCAGAACTACTTTGGGAATCATGCACCTATATGTTTTAATCCCAACTTGTCTTTAACTAATTCTATAACCCGTTAATTTTCTTATTTTGTTTCATTCAGGTGGTATCTACTATCAATTGCATAGGGTTACGAAGGACTCAAAATACGGTAGTGAAATTTTCATTTCTGGAAGACGGAAGTACACGATAGAAAACGACAGTTTCAACCCTGTACAATTTAGGGCAAATAATCCGCCAGATCAGCCAGTTTTTGTGAATAATGTCCCTTTCAGCAAGTTTCTGGAACAACTGAACGAAAAGCTACGCAAATGATCCATACTGGGATGCAAATAAAACATTTGTGCATATATCATTTAATTAAATTGTATACAACGCACGAAAAGAACCGCGAAATGATGCAGCGGTTAACGTAAGATGAACGTTTGTCATAAACCGTACAAGTAGAAAGTC